TGGTTAGTTTTACTACCTGCACGTCCATCTAATTATTATTTGTATTTTTTGTAATAATTCGATTTTTGATAATGTAAAATAGTTTGGGGCACTTCATTTATTAAAGATTTTTTACGTACATTTGTTTCAATGAAAGTAGTTCCAAACATAATTAGCTCTGATATTGATATTTTTTCTTTTATATGGAATCCAAAATACTTTCCAGTCTTTAAATACTCGTTATTACTTTCAGTCAGTTCTTAAGTCCCGACTTAAAATTTAAAATGTCTGAAAGAATCACGAAGTCATTTAATTCTTATACTTACGGCATATAATTCCTGTGAAAGATAATTAATATTTCAAATGATGTTTTCCATTTTCGGTATCTCAGATCTGGGGTAGGTGAAAACAGTCTGATAATTCGGAAAATTTGTACACTTTGCCCACGTTAGGTACATACGTTCAAAAACTTTACATAATCTAGCACAATCTATGGGTCTATTTAATCGATTTAATCAAAATAAAAAGATGACTAGGGTTGTTTAGCTTAAACTATAAAAAAAATTCCGACTTAATGTGAGAGTCCAAGAAGAATCATGTTTTCGGCGGTTCGAGAATACCACGACGACAGTGGAATCGCTTCAGTGTATTAAATGTTGTAAATAGTGCCTTCATGACACGGGCACATTTTTGGGGACAAAATTTTGTTTTTTATTTTAGTAAAAACGTTTGAGTTTATAATGCTGTTGATGTTTTGCAAGAAAAGCTTAATGCCCTTAAACTCTATATTTATGATTTTAAAATCACGTTCATTCTTAAAAATGTAGATGTTTGCAACGTTTTCCAAAACATGCGTCATATCTCCCTGTTTTGCTCTAAGGAGTAGAGAAAAAATATAAAGAAATGTATTTTTTACATGATACTTAGATATTCACTAAAAGCGAAACCAAAAGTCGGGCATCCATGTACGATCGCACCTCCAAATGACCTTATTTTCATGATATTACCTTTAGAGGTTGGTTAAGAGCAATTCGATGTTTAAAATTATTGTTTTTAATAGAACTCCCAAAGTAATGATATAAATACTTGTGATTTATTGGCTTCTATGCGATTTATCACCTGAATTAACAATTCATCACAATTTGTCTGGAAGAGTGTTTAGATCTCAGATCACAGATTTGTCAACTATTACTTCTCTTGGCAAATTTGCGAGAAACTTTTAAATAATAAACACGTACTCCTCTGTAGAAACTACTTTTTGACTCTATTATAATTACGTCGTATTATTAAGAACTATAAATCAAATCAAAATAGCTTTAGTTCTTGCAGGGTTGTTTTTCCAATAATTTTTAAGAAAGACTTTCGTACTCGACTGAATAAAATAATTTACTTAAATGACTCTCTATCAATAAATGTTCGCATTATTATCCCGGTCAAGAGATAAATAAACTAGGAACAAGAATTAAATAGAAGAAAATGTGACAATTTTGAAAAGCAGACTACTTTGCGGCAAAGAACCACATGGCCACATTATGGCCATATTTAATAAAATTCCCGGTACATTAATTGTAGACGATATAACGTAGTCGCCTTTAAAAAGAGTTTTCCACACAACACCGCCTCACTATAATTTACCTATTTAAGCCAAATGAGTTCTTGCGCTAAAATATGTGTGCTCTTGCATAATAGTGACATTAACTCAGCCCATTTGTTTTATCACCCTGAACAAAAAAAACCATCTGCCAGCTATAAAGCTGAGGGCACCGTTACACCATCTTTAATGCGGCAATGGGGAATATTTTCTATTAATCTCGGGGGCTCTTCTAAAAGCTGAACGCTGTTAACCGATGGATTCTTCGACCCCGAAATCTTATTTTGCGGTTTCACGTAACGAGCTCACTGTGGGTCAACGAGTTCAAAGCCCTCCAATTAAACCGTAATAGAGACAAAAGAGGATTCTCTGCTAACTTTCGACGAAAATCGATCCTTTCTATTTATATCATATTCAAGATTTATAAGTCTTCAGTTTCGTTTGTTTTAGAAGTAGAAGGTTTATGGCAGTGCTAATAGGTTGGTTACAAAATACTTATAATTTTACATTTATTTAAGAACTGATTGGAGGCGTAAGGTTATTTTTCAGGAAGTCATAAGCTAGTCATTAGCCGCTACCAACCTAAACGCATAAAAAAGTTCAGATTTTCATCCAGATAAACATCAACTGCCTCGTTTGTGATAGAAACACACAATGTTTTCTTCTTAGTTTATTTCTTTTCGATCGATCAAAGTCCAACACCAGAGGTCTTTTTGGCCTTTTGGCTTGAGCTCAAGAATTTCTTTCAATAAGTATATTAAATTATACCATTGTACGTTTTATTTCCCCATATATCAATCATGTCTGGAGCCAAGGCTGTCAATTTTATTTCCCTCTTATTGAACGTTCTCTTTTTTGTCATTCGGTTCTTTTTTATTCCAAGGAGGTTTCCATATAGGTGTTTTCGCAGCAATTTGTGAAAGGCAGCGTCATTCGATAAGGAACACGTGTGCTACCTTCCATTTAGTTGAAATTTGACTTTTTATTGACCAGGCCGATCCCCTTTATATGTTATTAAAGCAACGGAAGAAGAGAACCGGATTTTATGAGCGTAGGAAAGCTTTTAGGATAAGGAAAATATAATTGGTGTCCTATGCTTTGTCCCGCTTCCATAAAAGTAAAATTAGAATATTCCATGGAACTTAAAGAATATTTGACTTAGTTAGATGCCGTATAAGTTCCGCTGAGTACATTTGTGGAAGGACGGAAGTTTTTGCGGATTTCTAGACGGTTCCTTTAATGCTTTCAAATAAGAGTAGCTGTAAGATACGCCTACTTCGACGAAACTTTCCACTGACGTATTCAAGTAAATCAGTTTCGGGTACACTCTGGGGACATTTAGAGAGCGGCATCAGAAAGTTATTTCTTTTCCTTCGATGGTTGAAATTCTCGTAGGAAGATAATAAAGGAGCTAAAAATAAGTTTTAATTAAAACGAGGCGCAGCAATAAGACTGGAATCTACGTAACAGCACAAAGATAATGTAGCCTTTTAGTTTCTTCAGCTTTGCTAAAGGAATTGCAGCTATTTTTAATTAATTTGGTTGCTTGAACTTTAATACATCTAGGGCCTTAATAAATACGTTTTCAAATCCAATATTAATAGTATTAAGTCCTTTCATTATGTGGAAAATGCCAAGGCTGTTTCAAGCTCTGTTTTCTTTCTGGGATGAATTTATCGTTGAATTTATTGCGCAGTCAGTTTATTGGAGTTGATCCTCAGTTTTCAGGAGCTTATTTTTTCCACATCTTTTTATTTTATGGACACGTATTGTATGTATTTTTTTGCAAGGCAGCCTAAAGTTTGAGTTCCCAGTCACACCAGCGCTGACATCGTCGTCCAGAAGAACTATTAGTGCTTTGGTGGCAAAGGATGAGTACCATAATTGGCACGATCTCCCCATTTCTTCTAGTTCTCATCCATCTTACTTTGTATGAGCGTCTTCTTAGCAATTTTTCGTATTTTTCTCATCTCAGTCATTCTGAAAAGTTACTTAGTGACTGCTTGCCCTGCCCTAGTGTATGTCATATATTTGTGGTTTGTTTTTAACACCTGAGAATGGATTCAACTTTCTCGCGTTTTGAGGATATTCCAATATCCTAGTTGCTCGAATTTTCCTCATGTTATTCCTATTTAAGGATACTTATCATACTCCAAATATTTTTCTAGCTTCCATATCTGATGAGAATATTTTTCTTCCTATGATGGCTTCAGGCACGAGAAAGTATCGTAAAGTATCTGGATAAATATGTGATGTCTTAAGAAACTGTCCTATCATTAAATTCCTAACCATAGACCATAGAGTCTCATAACTTTTGCCTCTAAGAACATGATTATAGAAAGACATTTTCTTTCTTTTAGACCAATCTATCTTTTTATGTTCAGTCATCCACTGCATTACTGTTTCATTTTAAACGTGAAACATGTACAATCTTGATAACATGCATCGGTAGCGCCAGATTAAATTATTGTAACCGCGATTACAAAATCCTCCTGGGCGAATGGAAGAGGAGTGATGATCCGATCGATCGCCATGATCTTTTCACTCGCATTTTCTCAACAAGTCGATCTCGCAAGTCGATCTGAAGCTCCTATTCAGTTATCTTTAATTCAATACAAAAAGCCCGATTTACACAGGGCACACATTGAAACAGTTCTGAATATCAGAAGCTAAAAGCTCTTGTGGATACCTATTTAATAAAGCACGCAATTCTTAAACGAAAGTTTTCTTTTTGGATTAAAACAGTAGGTAAAGTAAAAAAGTGAGTTGGTGGTTGGATGTTGAGTATTCCTCTAATACAATATTATTAATCATTGTATATACTTTCCTGATTGTGTTTCAATTCCAAATCAAATTTATTCCTGGGTTTCAGTCATTTATTGTCTCTATTTATTAATCAAAACACGTTTCGGTGTACTTTTCCACCATCATCAGTTTTTATGTGTAGCGTTGTAAATACACCGAAACGTATTTTGATTAATAAAAAGAGACAATAAATGACTGAAACCCAGGAATAAATTTGATTTGGAATATTATTAATGAATATCGTGTCCTATTCAGCGTGAGTTCTTACGAAACCTGTTGGAAGTAAATAATATAGCGCCATTTTCTGCAAAAAGTCTTCGCGTTTAAAATATATTTAAGAGACTATCAATATTTAATTTGCAAATTTTAAATTAGTGTAATTCATGGGACACTTCAAAATAGCTTCGTTTATAATTTTCTTCATGTTCATTTTGGTTACTAGAACGAATCAAACAAACGCTTTTGCTTTTGGAACAGGTTGATAGAATTTTACACTAGTGAAGCGTTAGTGAGAGCAACCAGTGTAAATAATCTGCACATAATTTAGGAAAGTCCAAAACTTTTTTATTGCATGTTTAACGTCTAGTACGTTCAAGTGTACTAACTGTGGTTTCTTTCTTTTCAGTGAGGCTGCACGACAGCATACAAGAAGAAAACTTCCACTATTTGGTTTTCGATTTGTAAGTATGCAAATTTCCTTTTTAAATCGTCAAACACTTCCTATTAACGGGCAATCTGTGCTGTGTGTACATTTTAATAGGGATTGCAAGTTAAAGTGGAGCTTTTTAAACTTTCTTATCAACCCGCTAGCAGCTATCAGCAATGCTACCCAATCATAAACTGCTGAGGAAAAGCTATAAAGCGTGATTTCGTAACGGCAATTCAATAGCTGAGTCATGCCTGGTATGAATCATGACTTCAAATATCTAATATTTATTCGCATAAAGCTCTGGCAAATCGAGTCGAAATTACATTTTCAGAAAAATACTCTAGATGGAAAATCTTGTGAGTGCTAATACTGTTACAGTAATTGAATTTTTCAAGAAGAGGGTTTTCAGTTGAACAGAGTGAATCGTTCACATTAAATCAAGCAGATTAAAATATTTCTATTATTCATTTACCTGTCTGTTCTGAGCTCCATTTATTTTACGACATAATGAACTAGAATTACAACTTAATCAATATCTGGTGGATGAAACATACACTATTAGTATAAATTATATGGTTGATTATAAATAGATGACGTTTCGTGTTGTGGTAATCTAAGCAAATAATGCTTGATCTGAGATTTATTGAATCGGAAATGCATTGAGGCCTTCTAGTTTCCATCTATTATATAAGCCTTGTCTTTACAGTAAAATCCGTTTTTTCAATGAGGTTTCCTCTGTGTTCTCCGTCTCAAAAACTACGAGCGAAAATCTAATAAACAAAATCACTCAAATTACCCAAAACCTCAATGTGATTTTTGAGTTCAATGAGAAATAAAACGTTTCGATAAATAACCCGATTTTTCCGGTTAAGTTAATAATTAACTTTATTAAAATAACGATTTGATGGAACCGTAAACTAAAGTAGATCATTTTTAACTTACAGGGTAACGGGCGGCGAGTTGTTCGAAGACATCGTAGCCCGAGAATTTTACTCGGAAGCAGATGCCTCCCATTGTATCCAACAAATTTTAGAATCCGTTAATCATTGCCATCAAAATGGTGTTGTACATAGAGATCTCAAGGTAAGCCAATAATAATTGCATGCAAAGAACCGACTGGATATGTGAAATTCGACGTGTTTTCCAGCCAGAAAATCTGCTTCTGGCTAGCAAAGCGAAAGGAGCCGCCGTAAAGCTCGCTGATTTTGGCTTAGCTATCGAGGTGCAGGGTGAACAGCAGGCGTGGTTTGGTTTCGCTGGAACTCCAGGGTATCTTTCTCCCGAAGTGTTGAAAAAGGAACCCTACGGAAAGCCGGTCGATATCTGGGCATGCGGCGTCATTCTCTACATTCTCTTGGTTGGCTATCCGCCGTTTTGGGATGAGGATCAACATCGGCTCTATGCACAAATTAAAGCAGGAGCTTATGATGTAAGTACCCATAAGTCTTTATTTTCATTATATTTGGTAGGAAGTATCGTGGTTTTGTTATGGGTTTCTATTCAACGCCCATTTCCCTTCACACATCCTAACAATTGCATGAAATGGAACCATTTAAAGAAAAAGTCAGTATACTAGAGCAGTCATCTTTTTGATTGTTGTGGAGTTTAACAGAAACAGTATTCGTTCGAACAAATATCCGTTTTTTAGAAAAAAAAACTGCTGGACTTTATTAAAATGTGTGGCGCCAAAGCGCAAATATAAATCATCAATGCTTACTATTAGCAGTTTCTGGTTTTCATTGATTCTTGCTTTTTCCAGTGTAAGTGTTGTGTAATGCATTGTATCGTTAATACTCTATTGCGACTTTTTCTGCTTCAGAAATCTATTTAAAAAAAAAGTGTCTCTTGAAAAAAAAATGATATACGGAGCGATTCAAAAGGGAGGTCATTTATTTGGAGAAAGACTATTGGGAAGTTAAATATTAAGAAAAATATTAACTTAATTCAAATATCCTGATCAGTGGAGTTCATGTTAACTATAATTGCTAGGAAGTAACGGACCGTGAACAAATATATTCATAAAATCTACTTTTAACCACATTTCATCTTAATTCTTATTCCATTAATCTTCAGGGCTTGTTGTCAACATCCGAACAAATCAGGCAAGCAAATTAATTTAAATATTTTCAAACTCAATAATTTCTCATTTGATTAGCATAAAATGAAAATAAATTGTAAAAGTAACTATCTAAATTTAATTGAATCAACTATTTGGAGCAAGAATTAACCACGATAAAATATTGTAAATCGCGTTGTGTTGATGAAATTCGTATAGAATGAAATATTTCCATCATATTTGTTAGCAGTATGTTTAACAGAATATTTTTCTATTCAAAAACAATTCCTTTTTTGGGGTAAGTTTTTCAAATGTTTTGCTCTCCCAAAGAATTTTTTGGGAGAAAGAAAGAACTAATTAATTAAAAAGCTAAGATTCATTTGGTCCTCAACTATTTTTAAAAAATCGCATTTTTTGAAAATACAGGACAAACAATTCAAGAATAACACATTTCAAATGTTCAAATGACTGGGATGTGTCCAGAATACAGGCATAATGCAAGAGTTAAATATTTTCCTAACTGATTGTTAAATTTTTTTAAAAATATTTGGAATTCCGAGCGTATTTTGGCGTTGGTGTATATGATTAATTATTATTACTATTACTGTTTCTAAGATTTTTAGCCAGTGGTTATAAGAACATTGCCCGCACAAATCTAATAACTAAATCATAAAGGTTCGTGTTGTTTAAAAAAAATAGTGGCATGTAAATTATGGCAATTACATGTTAAGTGTTTTTTTTTTCCTCGAAATTGATCAAAATACCAAATTTTGTTTAAATAGTGCAGTAAAGAGTCTTTTGAAATTTGGGAAGTGTATAAAAAGCACCCGGTATCCAGTATAAGTAGTAAGTTTTAACAGTAAAAGTTGACGCATTTTTACATTTGGAAGAGATTTTGTCTATTCCAAACCTTTTTTGTATCCAGATTGTTAAATTGTGTCTTTATTATATATAAATTATTCTATTATGCCTTCAATGTACAGAGTGATTCACGGTCTATGGCGTATTAGAAGAAACATATCTAAAGCGGTTTCCCAAATATTAAATAATATTGATTGCAAGAAACCTTTTATTGCATCGCGATTTGGAACTTGGAAATCTCCTATTTTAGGTCAGGGTTCTGAAACCTCTCTGCCTAAACCCCATATTGTTCTAAATCATACCGAGTGTCTTATACTACATACAAAATACCCTGTATATTAGTCGATGTTCGGGAAGACCACGAAATTATGTTCCTAGAATTAAAGTGTCTAATTCGCAAAAAAATAATAAAATGGAAAATTAGAGTCGTTTGTGTTTCAAGCTAGAAGACCACTAACAAAACACCACAGAAAATGGTGTTTGTGAGGCTCAAGCCTAGAGTGTTAATGGCCCAGAGACAAATTTTTAACATTAGGTGCATCTAAATTGCGTTGTAATCCAATATTACTAAGTGGTATAAATTTTCAACAAGATCGTGCATCGCGTTGTCGATTAACGTCTAATACGCCATCGACCGTGAATTACCATGTATTTTACCGGTTTCACTATATTAGCGTATTACAGCCTGAAATTGGGAAACGTGCACGAATACATTGCCAAAAGCGGAACCGATTGTCAAGAAATCAAAATTCTAAAAACGTTCACATTTTAAAAATAAGCGGATATACATTTAATGAATGGATCAGTTCAAGGAAATATTCGCAAAGATACTGAAACATTTTATCCTTTAACCTGAGTTCAAAAATACTTCAACATAAGTATAAGAAAGTCACAAGTCCTAGAATATTTATTAAAGACTAATACCTACTTTTTTATTTGTTAATAAATTACTTATTAAGAGACATGCATTAGCTCACCACTCTATATGATTGATATGATATGATTCTCTAGACAACACTTTACTTTTTGCTAACAAAAAGTTTATCAGTTTGTGGTGGATTTTGTATTTAATCGGCTTAATGAAAAACGGCTTTTAAAATACATTAAAATCATCTTTCAAACAAGGCCAAAAATAGTGAAATCGGTTAAGTGGTTCAGGAGATATTAAATGTAAGTAGGTACTGAAAACTGCAAGGGCCTCCCTGTCTTTTATTCTGATAAATGCAAAATAATGTCAAAGAAGTAAATAATGCGGTATTACCCAAGATCTCAAATGATTTTTTAAAGTTATGGCTCATCTCCCCCTTTTCCGAGATACCAAGACTTTTTTGTTTTGTAGTAGAAGTTACGCCCCCTAGGGCTCGAGCTAAGAACTTAAATACATTATCCAGTCATTTTTATGTCAACTTTACCGCCAAACAACAAACCGCTAGTCCTTACCGTTGTCGAGATACAGCTGCTCTTTACCCTTATTGGGACACGCTGTATATAAAATCCAATCTACTCTGAAACATCAAAATTTCACCATTTCCCAGCAACGTCTTCAATCAGACCTTCATCAGTATAACATAATTTGTTGTTATGAAACGGGCAAGTTATGAAATGCAGAATTAGCAATTATTTCCATAGTATCTGATTTCCATAGTTGACAATCTCCATGAATTTCAAATATCATTTGCATATCAAAATAACGTTCCATTAAGTGTCTAGCTATTTCTGAAACAGTGCCAAAACGCGCACCAGACGTTTCATGATTAAAATGTCCATTATTAATCCTTTGAATGTCAATATCGATTTGATATTGAATGCAGTAACTTAATGGTAACTAATTTCAATAAAACTGATCCCAGTGGGAAACTGAGTATGCAACGTGTTACCAGAAAACATTGAATTTCAGTATCCGAGTCCAGAATGGGATACCGTGACACCGGAGGCGAAAAATCTCATCAATCAAATGCTCACCGTCAACCCATCGAAACGGATCACGGCCGCCGACGCTCTGAAACATCCATGGATTTGCGTGAGTGTTCGATGCTTTACGATATTTAATTTTGAGTTAATCATTCAAATTGTCACATGGAATTACTTTGATCGATTACTCGAATTATTGCTAACAGAGTAAAGCGAATTTTTCACATTTATTCGCTTTCAGCAAAGAGAAAGAGTTGCTTCGGTGGTTCACCGACAAGAGACTGTGGATTGTTTGAAGAAATTCAATGCACGCCGCAAATTGAAGGTTAGTGAATTTCACTGTTCATAGAAACAGTGAGAAACGTAAATATTAATTATTTCAGGGTGCCATTTTAACCACGATGTTGGCTACGAGAAATTTCTCGAGTAAGTTATCTTGATTTTTACATACCAAACTGGTTTCAATCTACGTATAATAACATTAAACATGTCTTTTACTAATATTCCACTTTTATAACAGTTTTTTATATTCTAAGTAATAGCAGTGTAATAATAAATTGACAAACATCCCTCTGTTTATGTATATCTAATAATGATTTACACTTTACAAAACAACACCTACACCAGTTTACACCGAAACTAGTATGGACATACCTTTACTTAGATATGTTTTTTTATTTATTTTTAATTGGGCACAGTGCGATACGATTAGAAAGGAGACTAAAGGGGTAACATTTCAGTCAACATTGCTATTTAAACATTGTGTTTACAATGTCCCAAATGCGGGAAACCAATTGCTACATTTGGGCTTTGATTTTGAGCGATTTGTTTTGAGTACCTTGATCCAATCGATAGTCAAGAAGTTACATTTACTGAAGCTTTCAACAACAATTTATCAAATAGCGCACATTTATCGTAGTGAAATTGAGACTGAAAATTCAAGTGATGAACGGGTAAAGGAAACATAAATAATTTTGTAATTTTTGACTAATTTCCTACTTTGATAAGGGTTTTCAATACAAAGCACAAGAGCAGATGGGACGACGGAAAAGTAATAATTAATGTAACTCACTTATATTATATTCGACTAGGAGCAATCATAAAAACAAAAGAAAATTCTAGTTAAATGGCAATAGGTGAACAACGTCTGTTGTTTTATTTTGAACTGCATGTGTGATAAATTCAACCAACAAATGCGGCTTTTCCATAAAATTATCAAACTTATTCCTAACTCCAACAAAACTAATACAACAATAAATCTAATATAAGAACGTAGACTCAAATTCACAATGCATAGTTTATGGTGGATCGAAAATGCAGTTAAATTTTCTGAGACAGAAATAAACATGAGTTCGTCGGGATCATAATCTGATGAC